CACTGAAGTACAGGGTTCAAGTTATGCTGCTAATAAACGAGGAGAAATTTTTGTCTTGAAATTTGCTTGAAAGTCATGCTTATAGGAAATGTTGGGGTTGATGGTGTTGTTGTCGTTGTTACGACTATTGTTTATGGTTGCTGTTGCTTATGTTTGTTATGAACGTATTTGGAAATTTATGTTTGAGCGGTTATTTTTCAAATACATACATTTTCTTTTATTTCATACTATTTTTTTTTGACACATCCTGCTAAATTTAGGCCGAAAATGACGTCTGGAAGAAAACCGGCAGCTGCAGGGAAGACGCCTGGAAAACCGAACGCATTTAAAGTTAGTGGTTTATAGTTAACTTGTTGCTGTAGATACCAGTAATATTGATAACAGCTTTTTCAAGTTGTAGGAAAAAAGCTAGATATTCTACATTCATAATTCAAGATTTAGATTTTTTGTTAATTACATGAAGTCGAATGATGCATTTATGGGAAGAAACATAAAAGTTTTGGTGATGTGATAACCACAAATTAGTTTTATGCTATTTTTTCGCACTTGAGGACAAACAGGTTTTGTCATCTACTATAACGTTAAAGCTGATCCTTTTTATGTTCTTGTTTACTTATTAATTTAATGTTCTAGTTTTGTTTTTAAGGATAAGGATAAACCAGAAAGTGTGAGAAATAGTAACATTGTTGCTGCAAAGGCTGTAGCAGATGCCGTGCGAACAAGCCTAGGTCCAAAAGGTAAAGAATTTTAAAGTTATGCCACCTTACTCGATTTTTTAAATCGTACTTCAAAATCTCTCATCTGTTTAATGCTTAAAAAGTTTCTTTATTTTACTTATTTGATTCATTATCGTTCATTAAAGTTATGCAGTCATAGTTCCTCTATTAGATGTATAGTCCCATTTGGTTCTTTAAGTAATGCCTTGGGAATAGTAGTTTGGAGAGTTTTCAAATCCCACTAAGTTTTTTCAGAACTCACGTTTTTCAGGGATGGATAAAATGATTGAGACGGGCAGTGGTGAAGTTACTATTACAAATGATGGCGCAACGATTTTGAACCAAATGAGTGTAATTCATCCGACTGCCAAAATGGTTATAACTACTTAATACTTATTTTCCCTTTTAAATTGTGAAAGCCTCCAATATAATTATTTAGCAGTTTTGGACTTAGATGTTTTTTTGTTTCTAGCTCGTGGAATTGTCTAAAGCTCAGGATATAGAAGCAGGTGATGGAACAACAACTGTTGTCGTTCTTGCTGGCGCATTCCTTGATGCTGCAGAGAAGCTTTTATCTAAAGGTTGGAGAATGAGCAATGAAATTATGATTCTAACTTTGTGGAATTAATAATTTATAGGCTTTTCTATTTCAAAGCTGATGAAGTTATTTTTTGATAAATAGTGTAGCCTTGGTAAAGGAAGCAATCTTGAAGTGATGTAATTTTTATTTTCTTTTCTTTTAGGAATTCACCCAACTACAGTGTCTGAATCATTCTTAAGAGCTTCAGCGGAGGTAGAGAAAATTTTGGAAACTATGGCAGTTCCAGTTGACCTAAATGATGATGAGAAGCTGGTTAAGATAGCAACTACTAGTCTTAATTCAAAAGTGAATTTTGTTTTGTCTGATTTACTTTCCTTTTTTTGGTTTAAAGTTTCTAACTTTTTTTTTTTTATAAAAAAGCTTGAATTTGGTTGGACGTTTCTTACTTATTTTATGAGATTTTACAGGTTGTATCTCAACATTCATGGATGCTTGCTCCTATGGCTGTGAATGCAGTTAAAAAAGTAAGTTTTATTTAATTAACGTCGTTGTTCAATTTAACTTACTTTGATCTTCATAAACGTATCTTGGATTTTCAGATCATCAACCCTGATACGGATAGGAATGTGGATTTACGAATGATAAAGATAGTTAAGAAGTTAGGAGAAACTGTTGAAGAATCAAGGTTGGTAGATGGTGCGCTGATAAACCAAAAGACAATGGGCCGTGGAGGACCAACACGTGTAGAAAAGGCGAACATTGGGCTTATTCAGTTTCAGCTTAGCCCGCCGAAAACTGACGTTAGTTTCGGTTGACATTCCTTTTAGATGGTTTCCTCTTGTTTTTGTTTCAAGAGTGTCAAAGGGTTTTGGACTTTAGATGGAAAACCAAGTTATCATATCTGACTATACACAAATGGATCGAGCGCTAAAAGAGGAGCGCACGTACATACTGGATTTGTGTAAACAAATCAAAAAGGCTGGCTGTAATGTTCTGCTAATCCAGAAAAGCATCCTCAGGTACAATCTTTTAGTTGTCCTGACAAAGGGTGACCCTGACTAGTCACAAATATGTTCTGAAATTTTTACGTCATTACTTATATACCTTCTAGTGCCTTCCTTTATAGGCGTGTCAGTTGTATTTTTATTATTTTTTTTTTCGACCACCGCACTTCTGTTTAGTTCAGCATCTTTCTCACTAAAATACTGCTGTGCTACACTTAAAGTGAGTTTCAGAGATGCAGTAAGCGAAATGGCGCTTCATTTTTTGGCAAAAATGAAAATTATGGTTGTGAAAGATATTGAAAGAGATGACATTGAGTTTTATTCGAGGATTCTTGGTTGCCGACCTGTTGCTTCTGTTGATCACTTTGTCTCAGATGCACTGGGGTATGCTGATGTAGTGGAACAGATTACGACTTCAGGAGATGAAAGAGTTATTCAGGTGCTTACAAAATTGTGTGAGCTGAGTCAACAGTCAAATCACTGTAAACGGATTTTTATAATAGGGTACTTTAGGTTACTGGAGTTCAAAACCCAGGTCATGCTGTATCTGTTTTATTACGAGGCTCTAATAAATTGGTGCTTGAAGAAGCTGAACGTTCTCTTCATGACGCTCTTTGTGTAATTCGGTGCCTTGTCAAGAAACGTGCATTACTTCCAGGTAAACTTTTTTCCTTAGAAATGTTCAATTATGTTAGAATTTTCAGCCTTTTGATTGAATTTCAAAAATTTTTAGTCATTTTTAATCCAGATCTGCGAAAAAACTTATTTACTGAAGGAATGGTGTTTGTAAAGTGGAAGTCCTTTGTGATCATTCTTTTTAAACCACTTATTGCACCTTATTTTTTTTCGTTCTTAAAAGTTTAAAGGGATGCATCGTTATTTTTAAAATTTTATATTTTTAGCATTTGTCCTTTTTTGTGTTTGTAGTTTTTTGGAGGATACATCAGAAT